ATATATATATATATATATATATATATATATATATATATATTTATATTTATATTTATATTTATATTTATATACATATACACAAACACAGATACGGAGAGCAAGTAAGTAGACAAAGCAGGGTTCAAACAAACAAAAGAGAAAAACCAAACAAACAAACAAAAACACAAAAGAAGAAAAATAAATAAATAAATAAATAAATAAATAAATAAATAAATAAACAAACAAATATAGTAAGAACCTGCATAAAGCCATCCATAATAAACTACATTTTCTTTTTTTTTATTTATCTACATTAAACATATTTAGGGGCCCGGGGGCCCCCACGGATGAGAGGGTATCGTCTTCTCCCCCTCCTGCTGCCTCTCCCCCGCTGCTGCTGCTGCTGCTGCTGCTGCTGCTGCTGCTGCTGCTGCTGCTGCTGTGTCTCCCGCTCCCCGCTGCTGCTGCGGCATGCCCATTTCAAAACCATAGAAGGGGCCGCTGCTTTCTTCTTCTTTTCTTTTTTGTTGTATATCTATAAATCTAGGATTAAGTAGTAAGGGGAATTTTGTTTTTTCTTTTTTTTCTTTTTCTTTTTTTTCTTTTTCTTCTTCTTTTTGTCTTGGCATCCCCATCTCAAATCCATAAAAAGGAGTAGCAGCAGCAGCAGCAGCAGCAGCAGCTGACCATCGTTGTTCCTGCAACAGCAGCAGCTGCTCCTGCTGCTCCTGCACCTGCAACTGGAATCGCTGCTGCCGTTGCTGTTGCTGCAGCTGCCGCTGTTGCTGCTGCTGCTGCAGCTGCTGCTGCAGTTGCTGCTGCTGCTGCAGTTGCTGCTGCTGCTGCCGTTGCTGCTGCGGATATGCTGCAGGAGCTGCATCAGCAGCGGAGGGGGGAGGCATATACGGCCCTCTACTAGAGAAGGGGTACCGAGGGGGCCCCCTTGGGGGCCCCCGTGGGGGCCCCCTTGTAGTTTCTGCGCTGGGCCACGCTGGGGCCCCCCCGGGGGCCCCCCAAGCTCCAGGCAGATGAGAATAAGGAGCTGCAGCAGAGGGAGAATCAGGGATTTGCTGCTCCTGATCAGCTGCTGCTGCTGCTGCTGCTGCTGCTGCTGCAGCAGCAGAGTCGGGGGAATAAGAAGGGAGCATCGGCTCGAAAGCAGCAGAAGAAGAAAAAGAAGAAAAAGAAGAAGAAAGAGAATGAGAAGGAGAGAGACGAGAAGATTTGTTTTTAGGTGTATGTACAGCGTCAACACTTTCTTTGCGTGAATGCTGATGCCGAGAAAGAGAAGAAAAAGGAGGAGAAAAGGGAAAAGAAGAAGAAGAAGAAGAAGAAAAAGGAGAAGGAGAAAAAGAAAAAGCAGAAGAAGAAGAAGAAGAAAAAGAAGAAGAAAAAGGAGAAGAAGAATAAGAAGAAGAAAAAGAAGAAGAAGGAGAAAGAGCATCAGGAGATGCCTGTACACCCTGCTGCTGTGTCTCTGCTGCTGCAGCATCACCTACATTTAGCCAAGCAAGCTCAGCAGCAGCATCATCAACAGCAGCAGCAGCAGCAGCAGCAGCAACAGCAGCAGCAGAATAAG